TCTGTCTGTTATCTGTTTCCTCTCTTTCACTCTTTTCAGCTCCACACCCTCCTCCCTTCCCTCTGTAGAGCTCACGCTCTTTTATTTTTTACTGTCAGTAACACACACAAACTCTGTCCTCTGTAATTTTTTTCCTCTCTGCGGTTGAGGTTTTCAGTCTTGACGGAGAGATGAAAGATTAAATAAAGAGGCTGGTGGGAGAGGCGGATAACAATCGTTACACCAGCGACGGTGGGTCATTTGCAGCGTTCGCCGCTGCCCGAGTTGCCTGGTCAGCTCTGAGTTCAGGCCGGGTCTCGCGGGAAGCGCGGCGCGGAGATTGACGGGCTCAGGGGTGGGGTGGGGCTTGGCAAGCGAGGGTGGGAGACGCGTCCACCACCACCACCACAGATGCAATTGCCACGGCGTTCCCGTGGGGCCGTGAAGCGGGTGGCGGAGCCCAAAATGTCAGTGCTGATGACTGGGCAGCTCAGCTCGGCTATCAGGCTGCTGCAGCTGCCTGCCACGCACCACGTCCACTCATTCATAGTGAGACAACAGAAAAACACACACACACACACACACACACACACACACACACACACACACACACACACACACACACACACATTTCCACACTTTTCTTTCTCTGGTAGCACAGAATATGACGTCAACTATACAGACATATTTGTGCTCATATATACTCATGCTCAATATTATGGTCTCGTTTCTTCCTCTTCCTGAACGTCGATCTGTGCTGCTGTCAGAAACTGATATTTTATAAACAATTGGGAGTCAGTCGCTGTTTTTTTCTTGTTCCCATATTCAACTTAGCAAAACTTGTATTTTAAAATTTGCATCAATCTTAAAATCACTTGTGTTTGATTAGTTGCATTTCCCTATATAAAGTGCTTCAGCTTCGCCTTCCTATCCGAGGCTGTAGTGTATGCAGTGAGATTTCCTGCTAAACCAAAATGTCACAGATGTTTATTTTATTTTATTTTATTTTATTTTATTTTATTTTTTACATAACTTCCATTGATTGAGAGTCACAACTCTGAAACCTTACAGTTTTATACTGCTGCTGAATTGATGAGTGCTAAAAAAACGTATGGCAGTAAGTTGTGACATTACTTAATACAGCACTGTGCTGTGCTATGCTATGCTGTGCAGACATTCTGTTTACAGTAAAATCTCACCTTTATTGATAGAACTGTATATTTGACAGCATTATGTTCCAGATAACCAACTGATCAATGATTTTGAAAAAAGAATCAGAAGCCATAACATCAGGGCAAATGTGCTGACGCAGTTGAACTCTGTGAGAATAAGCCGTGTGGCTTCCAGGCTAGCAGGTTTAAAAGTGAACAAATAGCTTTTTGTAGAGGAAATATGTGGGAACATCAGCTTTTGACTTTAAATGGGATAATCATAGCTGCCCTTTTGTCTTAACATCGTGACATGTCTGTAAGTGTGTAGCTATAAAAACAGACCAAAAGGAACAAACCAGTTACTTTAAAAAAACAAACACTCCTTGTTGCATATGATTAGCCATTAGAAGCAAACTGTCTCACTGAATTCCACTTTCTTACTTCAGAGCATCTGATTTTCATCATTTGATTATTAAGTATGGATAAAAGTGAATTGAGAGTGTGACATAATAAATAAGGTAAATTCCACACACTTCATCCCTGTACACATGCAATGTTCAACACAAAAGTGAATAGAAATTGCTGCTCGACGTTCAGACCCATGTAAAACATGGCTTTACCCCAAACTGCACCTTCAAGTTGCAATCAGTTCATTTAACAGCATAAATAAAAAGGCCCTTCGTGCTCTTTTCATTGATGTGCCTTTTGTTTATTTTCTGCCATTGCATCATATAAACTCTGTGCTGGATTTATTCGGTGTGTATTTGTATGTCAGCACTGTGTGCGTGTGCATGTGTGACAGTTGGATGATGAATGTCCTGATGGCACTGGGGTCAGTGTCACAGACAGTGTTGTCAATTGCACCTTCTCCCCCGAGTCTAACCTTGAGCAAAAGTCCCCGAAGAGAGCTCAATGTGCTGTTAAGGTCAATTCATGCTCACACACACAATCGCGCATCCATTCCTTGCTGAGCATGTGCCATTAGTAGCTGGTAGGGCCTGGTTTGACAGAGAGCGATTAGCTCCCTATCATGTGTATTGATCAGCTTGTCCTGGCTGGTTCTCAAGAGGAGGGGCTGGAGGGCTTTAACAAGGCATTTGGGACAGACACTGATGCATGCAAACACACACACACACCCTCTGACATTATTGTTTATCTATCATTATGTAAATCTGTGTGGAGGTTTAATGTATTTTTTATGTTCAAAGCTACCTGCCAGAATTTTCGGTCAAATAAACGAATTAGATATTCCTTCTCTGCTGTAGAACAAACAATATTTGTTTTGCTACTTTGTGTTGAATTATTGAATCAATATATAAGATAGTGAGCTTCTATTTCTCTGGTGACATCACATAAGGTACGAGGCAACTTATCAGATTTGTTTGGAGGATCTTTTTTTCCCATGATGTCATCCATTTTGTGAAGTCCACCACTCTCTCTTGCAGCAGACCACACCCAAAACCCCCTCATATTTCACAGTTCAGATGATGACTTTAAGCCAGAGGTTCCCAAACTGTGGGGCATGCCCCGTAGGGGGGGGCGCCGTGCCATTGCAGGGGAGGAAGCTGTCTGGATGGGGGGAAAAAACAAACAAAAACAAAACAGCTCATGGATGCTGTATGCGCTGGGTTTTTACCTTAGAATGGCCAACTCTGTTATTCCTCTGTCAATTTGATACAGTAGGGGCTTCCACACTTCCCATATCTGTGTCCTCTNTCACTTTTATCAGCAGTTAAAACTGTTTAATCCGTTGTTAACATGTTGTAACCTGTTTTTCCGAGCCGCCTTTAAACGCAACATGAGCGCTACGACGCTCGCGCTGGGCAGTGAAGGAGACCTGCTGCTGCTGTACAGAGCTACGCGGGTGTGTTAGGATCACGGCAGCAAACCAGCAAAAACGCAAAGAACTTTTCACAGTTTTCCCCCAAACTAACCGACTGAGTTGAGTAAAGCTGTTGGATACAGGTAATGTTAGCTACAAGATGACTAGCTAATATCAATACAGCACCTATTCCAAGATAGTTTGGAAGCCCAGGAGAAAAAGTTTGGGAACCACTACCTTAAGCTAACAAGCTTCCCCTTTTTACTTTTAAAAGTGACATTGAAGCTGCAGTATGCAACTTTTATCCAGAATATGTGTTTAGATATATTTTTTAAACATTCACCATGTCGTGACAGTACGTTATGAGACAGATAATCTGTGAAAACATCTAACTCCTCCTTGAGCTGCTACTGCCATCTGAAGAAATGCATCGCTCCCAACCGGAAAAAAAAAAACAAAACAATCAGAGCCAGGAGGAGGGTCTTAGTGCTGTCAATCAACCTCATATACTTGCTGGAAAATGTGCTAATGGTGGAGAAACAACTTAGTGTTACAGGAAAACTGTTTATTCACTGTCATTGGTGGCTATGCTAACTAGCCTTAGCATTCACAACATGATCTGTAGCAGAGATCAGAAGAGGGATGAGGGGGACGGGGATTAGCAGCTCCAGACAAGATTGTTGTTGACGGCATAAAGACCCGCCTCCTGGCTCTGCTCTGATTGGTTGTTTCTAGCACTGGGAGAAGGAAGAAGAGCTAAATTGTTTTCACAGATTATCTGTGTAATACCATACCATCATGACATAGTGACAATTTAAGCAAATATGTAAAAAATATATAGTTTTTATAAAAGTTACACATTGCAGCTTTAAGGCCAAAGATATATATTGCGAAAAAAAAAAAAAGAAATTAAAACTTGCCTTATGTTTTGTGAAGCTTTAACAATGTGTAAAATGTGACCACTAAACTGCAGGCATCATCAGCCTAAAGATTAAATATCACAAAGTTTCTGTGTATTATGGTGCAAAGTTATGTGTTTACATTTCATTTCCCATTGTATGGGATATGAAATGTGAGCCTTGTGTTTTAAAAATGTATGAAAAAATTTGTTCCTTTTTGCTGCTTGTAGGATTTACCTACTTATGCTACTGATTTTAGAGCCTAAATGAACATAGCTCATTATATGCTAACATTAAAAAAAAGAAAAAGTAGTGGTTTCAGTCCCTCTGCCGATCTGTATGCATGGCACATCCTCCCTCTGTCCTGTGTGTTTAATGTCACGTATGTAGCGTCCTTATAACAGCTGTCCTTCGTGGGTAGTTAAGACCAGCTCCTAGCTTTTGTTAATTGAGTCTAATTGAAGAACATGAAGGGAGAATAAAGGCAGGAGGCTTTTAGGACATAAAAGACTGCAGCCGCCTCTCAGTAGTATTTATTTTCAACCTCTTCCACTCTGATTTAAGTGTGAGCGGACAATGGCGGCCTGACAGTGATACATATGCACGCGTGTGCCCGTGCGCGCAGGTTTGTGTGTGATCTGCCGTTTGATTTACTGCGCCCACCTTCACAAGGACCGGCCTCTTATCAGATCAAAGCCACAGGAAGGCGGACTATGAAAGAACGGCGTGCGTGTGCGCATGCGTGTGCCCTGCAGAGGACAGAGGTGTGGAGGAGATGGGGAGTGTTTTTGTTGCTTTTAACCCTGGACAATGGCACCGCAAAAGGAGAGAAGCAAGTGGGCACTCTTTGAACAAATGAAGAGTACCTTTTACACTTCTTCACAAAGTTGCCCAACTCTCCATGCACTATGGATTTTTTTCCCCTCTCCTTTCTTGTCAAAGTGAAATAAAATAAAAAAGAACCAATTGTAGTTTTCTGTTTTAAATTCAGATTATTTACAAAAAAAGCAACAAAAAAAAAAGATCAGAATGATCAGAGTGTAGTTTGCTTGGTGGTGCGCGGAAAGATGTGATCGTTTTTTTTGTTGTGATAAAAAACAGAAAAAGTTAAAAGAAATGAAATTAATTATTTGTTTCTGTGATTTTTAGGTTCTCTGGGTAGAGAGGCAGCGATGTCATTACAGAGACAAGCGGGTTCACCTGACGGGACGAGACTACGTTCGGACGAAAGGTAAGTTTGGACTAGTTTTTTTATTTTTATTTTTTTTTTTAGAAACGAGTGAAACATTTCAAGCCTTTATTTCTTGTAGCTTTGATTATTATGCCAACAGCTTATGAGAACACAAAATTCAATGTCTGAAAAAATTAGAAAGACATAGAGGATGTTGAACGGAAACAGAAAGTGTGGTAGGAAAATGTGCACCGGCAACAGCCTTCAAAGGATTGTCAAGCAAAATCCAGTAAATATGTTTTCCCAGCTTTACAGTTAGTGAACTGAGGCTGGAGTCAGCATATCAAGAACCACTATATCCAGATGAATCCTGCAGTTTGGCTACGAATGTGATATTTCTTGTGTCAAGGTATGTCTGATCCAGAGGCAAGGTCACAAGCATCTTGACTGGGCTATGGAGACAAACATCTGGACTGCTGCTCAGTGGTTCAGTGTCCTTATTTTGATGAAAGTAAAGTTTGTATTTCATTTGGAAATCAAGGTCACAGAATCTGAAGGAAGAGTGGAGAGAGACAAAATCCATGCTGACTTAAGTCAAGTGGGAAGTTTTTACAGTCAGTGGGAATTTTAGATGTCATTGGTCCACTAGGTTTTCTGGGGGTCACAGTCAGCGCAGCAGACTGCCAGGACATTTTAGAGCTTCATGCTTCCTTCCACTGACACACTGCTGTATGGAGACACTTTGATTTCAATTTCCAGTGTGACTTTGTATCGGCACACACTGCCAAAGGTACCTAAAGACGGCTCAGTGACCTGGCCTGTTCAGGTAAGTATGTAAACTATCGAGAATCGTAAAGAGGAAGATGAGAGACATCAAAACCAACAATGTAGATGCCGTGGACTTCCTTTACACCTCATCTGAACCACAGGCTAATCACTTCCATGCCATGAAACATTGATGTGTTTTTATTATGTTTTATTTGATGTGTATTGATAGTTTTGAGGATGGCACTCGTCAAAATTGTTACTGGTTTTCTCAAATTTTGACTGTATGTTTTTTTTTTTGTTTATAGTTTTTTATTTTTATGATAAAAAGCACTTTGAACTGCCTTATTGCTGAAATGTGCCATTCGAATAGACTTGATTGATTGATGCAGTAATTTATGCAAAAGGAGCTCCAACAAAGTCCTGAGTGCATAGAGATTAACACATTTTTCAGAAGTCTTAACATTTCTGCTTAACATCTTATGTTATAGAAATTTTTTTTTATTATACATAAGCTATAGTCATCAAACTTAGAAGAAATAAAAGCATGAAATGCTCTAATGTATGTGTGTGGAGTCTATATAATCTACGAGTTTCACTTTCTGAAACGAGTGACCAAAAATAGCACACCTTTTTTTTTTTAAATAGTATTCCAATATTCTTGATTTGCATTTAGTTCAGCTGCATTTGGCTCTGAGTAATTCTTACATTCTTTATTTTAATTGTTCAGAAAGAACCCAAACAAATTTAATTAACACGGTTGTTCAGTTTTTATCAAGCACAAATAAGGAACAAGCCGTTTTTGTCAAGTTTTTATGTTTAAAACCGATCTGCTGATAATGTTTAGCTTCATCATTAAATCTGCGCGGATCGTCAAGTGACAGGGTGTGTGAAGTTGATCATTTTCTGCTGTCTTGGTGTTATGATGATGGAGAGTGTGCACAAGAATAATTAATAACTTACAGTACAGCATGGAGAATTAGAATACACACTCAGCCAAGCAAAGATTAAATCTAACAATCAAAAGTCACCCCAGTTTGCATAAAGTGTGCAAAGAGGAAAAGGTGCAAATGAACTGCAAAAGTCATTTGCAAAAAAAAAAAAAAAAAAAAAAAAAAAAAAAGGATTTATTATAGCTTAGCATAATTCAATGTGTGTTCAAAAGAGCACAGTGTGTTGATCTCAGGCATGTGACCAAGATAAAGTAAGCTGAGACACAGCACTCAATAAACTTCATAAGCTGAAGCACTGAGATTGATGCAAGGAAAGAAAGACAGATAATCAAATAATGCTCCTAATAGAGCAGATGGATGGTTCATTTCACACGACTCCTGCTTTAAAATCCAAATCATTCCGTCATGATTGAAAACGACAAACAGTAAAGGCAAACTCCCACACAACTTCCCAAACTTTCACATGCAACAATACTGTCACTACTGAATACGCTTTTGAACTTTGAGTGTCTGACCAATCACATGCAAGGTGCACAAAAAATATAGATATACATGAAAAAGAAATCAAAGTACTCAAAGCGACATGATCAAGGACTAAGCACTTCCAATGCTCTGGTACAGACATATAGTGGGGGAAATAAATATTTGCTACGCCGCAAATTTTTTAAAGATTTTCCAATTTAAAAGTGGTTTCTGATCCGTCACCTCTGTCATGATCACTGATACTCCAACAGGAGTGATCTTATATGGATCCCCAGTTTGAGGGAAACTGAAAGTCCTCTTGAGTTTCTCCCATCTTCTAACAATTGTGCCAACAGTTGTTGTCTCTTGATGTAATAAGTATGTGTGACATACATGTGACATAATGAAGTGTCACAGTTCTGAATAAAAATGAAACCTGCTGTAAAAAGAAACACTTTATTACTTCTCTGCAGTTGGTCTGGTTTGATAGTCTGGCTACTGATGCTCGTGTTGTTTCTTCCCTTGAAGTCAAGACTCTGCAGAAGACTTCCTTACGTTTTAGCTAACGTTAGCTTATACGCTAACATTTGAACACTGAATGGAGTAATTTAAAGTTACTCAACACGATAGCTGTAACCCTCAGCATACTGGTAGTGTCAACATCATAGTCACCCAATATGCTATGCTAGTGTTAGCCCTCATGCTAATAGTTTTATATTGCGTTTGCGCTGTAGTGTTGGCCACACTTTAGTTAGCGCTTCACTTCTATAAAAATTATTGCAGTTTCACTCGGAAGGACATAAACTACTGGCTCTGATTTTCATAAGTTTATATAATTTTATTCGGTTTAAGACCCACTAATCAAGTGTCATACAGCAGCAGACTAATTTGGATTAAATGATACCTCAATTCCTTAAAGTTCCCGTGTGTGCCAAGCCTCACAGTGAGGCTAGGCAATTACATTGGGCAAATATCCATACTGTAAATTCCTGTATTAAAGCCAGTATCACCCATTTTACTCAGACAATGGAACGTGCAGTGTACATACATGCTCTGCAAAAAGACAAAATCAGTTTTGGTCTAGTTTCTAGTGCAAATATTTTAGTACACTTGAAGTAAGACAAAGCTAACTTCAGGACAGATTTATAGGCGAACCCCTAAAACGTAGAGGATATGAGTGATTTGAACTAGACTATACATAATGAAATTTAAGTTGACACAGCTGAGTAGAACTGAATTGCAGTTCTTAAATCACTCCACGTCTACATAAGGAGTCGGATGGATCGTGTGCAGTTGTAAATGGGAGCTGTCTGGTGCAGAAGAATAAACCGACGGGTGTCCTTCTGCAGCACTTCTCTCTGTCTGCCTCTTTGTGTAAAACTTTCCTCACCGTGTCGCGCAGCCTCTGCTCTGACAGATGATAGGAAAGCACCAGAGGGAGGCAGAAAGATGAAACAGTCAGGAGATCATGGATGAAGGCTGCAGCTGTGTGTTGACTCTCATAAAGGAAGGAGGGAAAATAAGAATTGCACTTCTACGCTTTGACCAGATTGAACTTTTCACCGCTCAGGTTTCGCGCAAGTATTTTAGGATTTAAACTGCCGTTGTGAATGCAAGGGCGTCGCATCGAATGGGCATTTTCAACACCGGCCGCTTTTTCAGACATAATTATTGAATCCCAAACTGTATGAAACAACAGCATATTTTCGACACATGATTGAGAAGCTGCAGAATACAGTCAAAGATAAACCCAGTAAGGTTCATTTCCAGCCTGTCCCTGTCGACATCAGCCTCTCTACCGTTCATACAGATGATGCTTACGACTTCAACACTGATTTTAAATGAACTCCCCCCTTGATTCATGGACTCTTTTTTACTTTAGGAATTTCCATTTTTCTAGAAATGGAAATCTTTATGATGTTTATCTGTATCATCAGGCTCTTTTCATTGTTTTTACTTTTGCATTTAAAATGATCTAATTAGTTAACTTTAGCTGCTCTGTAATGGTTCACAACTTCTGGAAATACATTGGGTCTAATTAGGTATTAATGTTGATGAAAAATTACATATTTTTTTACATATTGACATTAAAATACGACTGAAATTGGGTTATGGCAGGGGTCTGCAACCCGTGTCTCCAGAGCCACAGTGGCTCTTAATAACTTTAATTAAAAGAAACCAGTTAACATTTTTTTAATACAGATATAATAACAAATGCAGGTTTTATACTGTTTTTATTTTTTTCTACAGTATTTGCATTGAATTTCCACAAAAATAACACTAAAAGTGCCAGTAATATGTGTTTAGATCTTTTTTTTTTTCTTTCTCATTAGGTTGACTGTTTATAAAAAATATCTCCTTTATACTTATTTTTATTTTAAAATCTAAAAATGGAAATAAAATTCTGGCTCTTAAAAAAATGACAATAAATCTTCTAAAGTCTGAAAAGTTGTCTATTTTGAAAAGGTTGTTTGACATTTGCAGCTCTAAACAAGTTTTTTTGGCTGTGCTGAGAGCAAAATGGCTCTTTAGGGTGCAGAGTCCTGTGTGATAGGTTTGAGCCAGTGTACTAGGATAGGTTTTCAAAGCAATGTGCACTAGAAACTAAGCAGAAATACTTGGTAAGATTTTGTGTTTTTGCAGTGAAAAATGTGGAGGCCTTAGTGAGCAGAGGCGCTTCCACAGACTGTGAACTGAGCCACGCTGCAGTAACGAGATGCTAATTAGATGCTAATGATATGCTAATCTCCCCACAGTATTCCACCTCAGTGGTGAGAAGGGAATCTGTGTAGCTTTTCACCATTGGTTGGAGGTCCAGGGATGTCCGGAAGTTAAAGTTCAAGATATTGGAAAAGGAGAAAACTCCCCCCCCTCCACACACACATACACACACACACGCACACATGCGTATCACATAGATCTTTGTGTTTGCAGGTTCCCAGAGGAAACGGCCTCCAGCTGACAGCCCGTCTGAGGAGAGGATGGACGACCAGTCGCTCACCTTCAACGACCCGCTCTGGCCCATGCAGTGGGAACTGGTGGGTGTCATTATCTGCTTGGGTGTGTGTTTGTGTGTCGTCATTTCCCTTATCTGGAAGTCTCCCCCCGTCTCTCCTCTCTTCTCGTCTTCGCGTTGAAGGATGTTCTTTTGACAGGCATAAGTCAGACAGGCTTTCACGTGTGACTGGAGAAGGAGACAGAAGACAGAGAGATAAGGGGATGGTGGGGAAGGCAGGAGAAGGGGTGAGTGGGTTGTCCATGTTGAACTGAGACAGATGTCTGGGATTGATGAGGCTTGGAGGAACACCGGCGCACAACTGGGCTGAGACAACAAGACATGCTTATGCCTTCAGCTGTCCTGTTCACACTGTTTTGGCCAAACTGTGTTTCTGAGGCCCTGCAGGAATACAGCAACAGGATGGAGAATTATGTTTGAAGTCTGTTTGAAAAGCGCCATAAAACAAGCATGTCATGAGGGAGCTTTTGTTCTTTTAATAAGATTATGTCCAATGAAAGTTAAACTTAACCAGTTCTTATTTGGAGTCTGACAAACATCATTTTGATGTACCTTTCCTGCTAAAGTAATAACCACAGCAAAATCTTTTTAAATGCTGTTTTCATGCATGTGTGTATTCACCCCCTTAGATGTTTTACCCTGTTTTTTTTTTTTTTGCTGTAACAAATCAACCATGATCTGCAAAAATAAACAAAAAACAATTTAAATGTCAAATTGTAAACTCATTTCTACAAAACAATGACAATTAAATAAAAACACCAGAAATAAACAGTTAAAAAATCTGTTTAATTTTAATTCTTGTGTTCCTTAGTTGTACAGAAATACCATTTAGATTTTCATATATAGTTTCATTGTTAAACCATAATCAGCTGATTTATTTTAGAGTTGATTGATAAGGTGGTCACTTCAATCTGAAACTCTAAGATACAACATAAAGATCTGAGTGGCTGAGGCTGAAGATGTCAGTACTGTTTTTTACATTACACTGCAAAAATGACAAAATAGTAAAATATGCAGAACTTTTTATTAGTATACCAGTAATATACTTTGCATTATTTATATACTACCACTCAATAAACTGTATTAATTCATGCAAACTACATATTTCAAAATAGAGGTTGATATACTGAGTAAAACCTCTGTGACCTCTTAATTTATGTTTGAAAAGAAAATATATGTTTTGGTAAAGTAGAACTGAACAGGTCAAGTTTTTTTGTATGTCACATTTCAGCAGTAAGGCAGTTCAAATTGCTTCACATAAATTATAAAACAAGCAATAAACATTACATTTTTATCAAATGCCATCATGGAAATTATCAATGCAAATCAAAAGCAACTCTAAGCTGGTGGGTTTTTAGCTTTGATTTAAAGAAAGTCAGTGTTTCAGCTGTTTTGCAGTTTTCTGGACGTTTGTCCCAGATTTGTAGTTCATAGAAGCTGAATGCTGCTTCTCCATGTTTGGCTTAAAACATGATTCCCAATAAAAAAAGACCACATTTTTTATTGTTTAACAACCCATTAAAAAAAAAAAACTGTTACTTATGTGCACTGAATACTTCCTGCTGGGTCTGTTGCGCAGCGACAGCCTCTGTTTCTGCTCATATCGATGGAATTCGGCGATAAATTATATCACTGATTACTCTATCAATAATAAATCCCTGGCATGTTCTTGCTATAAATACCCTGGGCAAAGCGTTCCCTCAGCCAATCGACTCCCGCAGACGGTCTTGAGTGACGCGCGAGGGCGTAATCTGGCAGAGCGAGGGGGAGGAGAGGCGGGCTCATGGATTCACCCCGGCAACTGGCAGCAGATTGACTGACATCTCAGCTCTCGGGGCAAGTTGGAGGGATGAGAGTCAGGGATGGGGGCGGAGGGTGGCGGAGACAGTATCGAGGCGAGATGATGAAGAGAAATGTGAGGCGGAGAGCTCGGAGCTCCAATACGAGCGCCATTTGTAGCAACGGTTCGGCTCTGAATTTAGAAAATTTATCGACAAGATTCTTCTTTTTTTTTTTTTTCGAAGCCCGCCGTGATGCATGCGGTGTTACGTGAAGTATGACACATAAGTGATTATGTGGTTTTTAACTTATATGGGTTGATTACATAAACAGGAATATAGGGCACAATTATCAATCACTGAGTAATCAGGAAAAATGCAAAGCCTTTTAAAACTAGGGACCGTTCGCTCTCTCTCTATCGGCTTCTCGCCTCCCTCTCTTGATTTCACTCTGTTGTGTTTAATCAGCCTCTGGTGGATGGAGATATTGATTGAGGGTCAGTAATCTGCTCAGGTCGAGACGTGTGTGTGTGTGGGTGTGTGTGTATGTGCGTGCGCGCGCGCGCGTATCCTTGCCGTAGAGTAATATTTTCATTACCTACTTTAGGCGAGTTTGGCCTAACACACCTTGATGACAAGTTCAGCTCCTGTAAGAAGGTTCTTGCTGAGCTGACTGCAGCAAATCAATCAGTTTATGGTACGTGTTGTCGTGTGACAATCTGTTCATGTTCATATGTTTTCCCTGAAGTCCAGCTGAGATGAAGAAGGAAAAAAGGCAATTGTTTGCTTTTTCCTGCTGTATGACTGCTTGTGTACAGTGGACCTCTGTGAAAATTCGCGGAGTCATCTTTTCGCCGATTTTTCTGTGAAACGTAACTCCAAGATGAATAAAAATCAGCCTTTGTTCATAGAGTATATCTAAAATATATAATAAAAGTAGCATCTTGGGTAGCCAGGTGTTGGCCTTTGCACAGCCACCAGATCAGGAGAGCCATTCATTTCCCCCATAAGAACAGAGATAAGGAAGACTGGAGATGTTAGCTTCTGCTGTAATGCCAAGACTGTTTCCACTGTTGTAATAATGAATATTATTATTTGGTGTTTGAATAATTACAATAGGTGGTCCTAAGTGTTGTTCATAGGACGTCTCAAGAATTCATGGGCTTTCGTGTGATTACTAATCTCCAATGTTGTATTATCCACTGTGTCAACGGCAGCATTCAAATACTACAAATCGATAAATTTGAACATTTGAACATTTGAAATGACTTCAATTTTTTCTTTCTTCAAGTGTACTAAGATATTTACACAAGAAAGTAGGTCAAAATTACTTGGTAAGGTTTTGTTTTTGCAGTGTACAGTGTACTTTGAAAAAGAAAAAGATTACAAAAATTCAATAAAAACACAAAAACTGAGCAAGTGGTGAGCTAGAATATGTCATTATTGAAGTTAATTTATTTTTATAGGTAAACCCATGTCTCTATAAATGTATAGATGCTAAAGAGAGCACCGGAAGAGGTAAATTGTTGTACTTTAAAGTGTTATTGTGACTTTGTGTTGTGTGTGAGGAGCTTTTTACTGCTATCACAACATCACTTCATATAACCGCATGTGTATGAAGTGAATCAGCATTCAAGATGCCTCTCCACAGGTCTATATGTAATTTTACAAAGGTGTGTGCCTTTTATGTGTGCTTAAAGTGTGTGTATGTGTGTATGCATTCGAGTGTGTCCTCCCCTCGAGCCAGTCCCAGTGTTCCGGTGGACGTTAGTCTGCTAGCAGCCTCCATTCATCTGCCTTATTCGCTCACACTACAAAGCATTGCAGCTCCCCAGATGCTACCCGCCAAACACACAAACAAACGCGCGCGCACACACACACACACGCACACACGGAAACGCACACAAACCCCCCAACAGAGACATTTTTTCCATTGTGCCTTTTCTTCCTTTCTTTCTCTCTTAATCATAGCAACAGTTAAAGGACTCACTTTGAATATCAAATTGGCCGTGTGTGTCTGTGTGTGCTTTTTTCTGTGTGGGAGAGCGAGTTTTGGGAATCCGTTGACATTTCTAGTTAGTCTGCGAGTGTGTATGTGTGTGTGTGTGTGTGTTTGTGCGGCCTTTACACGCTGCCTTTAAGTGTTGGGTGGGTTTTTTTTTGTGTGTCTGTGTGTGCCTGTTACCGTACTGCATGTTTGCGTTGGGATGCAACATTAAAGCTGTATTAAGTGATCAAGTGAATGTATGTAGTTTGTGGGGATGCTGAGGCTCTGGGGAGCTGCTGTGATGGGTATTTTGCCTCACCACGGCGGCGTTGTTTCTCTGCTGTAATGTGTGGTTATCTCTGTGTTTCCGTGTAGGTGGATTTGTGGTTTGAGGTGAAGAGGTCTGGGTGACTTGTCCGTGAACTTCCTGGGTTCCTTATGGCACTTTGAAACCATGTGTAGTTAAAGATGCATACACCATCCCTTCTATATATATATATATATATATATATATATATATATGTATTTATATTCTTTGAATATATGTTTCTACTGAGCTGGATCAAAACCACCTACTGAATGCTGTGAGGTGGCCCTCCAACAACCTGACAGGGCATTGACTCTGGGATTGTGTAGGTGTCATGTGACGTTTGAAAGAAAGAAAAAAAAAAGTCGGCGGCAGATTTTTGAAGTCATCCGATGATGTGGGATGTATTGTCCGTTGTTTGCTTGAGGCACTTCTAGGCTGCTGTTCCATTAAAAATGTGCGTAAATCTTTAGTTGCGATTCCATTAACCTTATAGTTTGACATATCGTACATAAATTCTCTTAATGGAAACACGTGCATTTAAAAAAAAAAAAACATTTTTCAATCAAAAGTTTTTTCACTATGATGAGGTAGTTTTTTTTTTTTTTAGCAAAACTGTAATGAAAACACTTTTTTTCTCATCACACGAGTCACATGATCAAACAAATGGATGTTGCCACTGTTGCCAAACACGAAGAAGAAGATGACAGGAAGTAGTTGGAGGATGATGGTGCGGCTTGTTTCTTTTGTTCTCATGAACAAACTGGTTCACGTGACTTTAATTGTGTTTCTTATTTGATGGAAACCCCACAATTGAGAAATTGTTTTTCAACATTAGCAAAATTTTGACAAAGTTTTGCGCTCATTTATAATGTGCACAAAACTTTGCATTCTGCTAATGTAAAAAAAATATAAAAAATCAAAACAATTAAAGATTAAAAGTCATGGCAGTAAACAGTTGTATGGGATATGGTTATAATTCAGCCATGGCACCAACGTTCATCTATTACCCATCTGAGGAGTTCTCAGCGTCGTATTCAGATGTTGGAGCGACAAGCTCCTGATATCTGGAAGTGGTGATGTAGGCGGCATTTTGGGGAAATTGTAGTCGGTGATGTTACAGAAAAGCTATGGATTCAACACGTTGGAATAACATCCTCCTTGTACCACTTCCTGTCGTCTTCTATGTGGTTTTCATCAGTAGTAACATCAAACTGTTGTTCACATGACTTGTGTGATGCGAAAAGTGATTCCATTGCAGTTTTGTGAAATAAACCGATTTGGCATGGGCGATAAACCACTTCACCATGGCTTTTAATCGAAAAACGTGCTTTTTTTTTTTTTTTTTTTTTTTTTTTAGAATTGCAGTGTTTTCATTAAGCTAATTTATCGTAATTTTAATTTGCACAATTCTTTAGTTAATGGAAACGCAGCTGGTGTCACATTCATTCCACAAACTGTTTCCCAATTGATCATTGTGCTGTATTATCTTGCTCAAATTTAAGATTATAGTTTTTTTTTTTTTTGAAAGCTTCAGTGATTCCATGGATTTCGAGTTTGGGTTTTGAGTAAAAGTAGTTGCTGTTTGTCTCTGCATTGTGTCCTGCTTTGAAAGCTTTGGGCGTCCTTGTGTACGTAACACATGCTTTACAAAAAACGTCTCTGATCTGAGTCAGGGTTCTCTGTCCTTGAAGCTTTGTTGTGTTCTTTTCTGTCTTAATTAATCGCTTTCCTTCCCATCCTCGTAGTCTCGTTCACCACACAGCGTCAGTACATTTGGTTAATTGGATTTACCTGGTTTCCATGCCACTAATCACCTTCTCAGGATATAAGCCTCCAATTTTCAGTTATTCTGCCCATTACCAAGTCTGTTCTCCCTTAGTAAACCTGTTCCTAATATGTGTTCCCTGCTGTTTGCCCCCGGTTGGTTTTCCCTTAAGGTTTCCTCCTGTACATGCAAGTTTTTCCTTTTCTTCAATAAGTGAACTCAATATGAGACTCGTGTCCTATTTCTGAATTCAAATGCTTTGATTTTAGCAGATTCCGATTTCTCTTCAAAAATCATAGTTGCCATTTTTGTTGAAATCCTGCCTTAAATGAGGACTATTTTTTTATTAAGAGCAGAGGGAACTTTCCAGTGTGTGTGTTAGTGATTTAGTGGCTATAAAACACAGGCAAAATGATTCAGAGGTGACATTTTAGACTGTCTTTAGCTTTTCAGGTTTTAATTTCAAGAGAGACAAAACTTTCCCGTAATAAGTTTAACCTTCTTGGTTTCACCTGAGCTTGACTGCAGGTCAGTTCTCTTGTTTGCAAATTCAATGAAACTGCTCCAACACTGCTGCAAATTGACATCTTATGGTTTCTTTTTTGAAGACAAAAGTCAAAAAGTGACCTTTAAGCAAAAAAATAAAAAAATAAAAAAATAAAATTGGATACAAAGTGACTAAAAGTACAAAATGACAAATGAGCAAAGGATATGCCAAAATCTAGCTTCCAGTGTTTGTGACCCTAATGACCAAGTAACATCTGTCTGTAGAAAATATAGTTTACTTTTAAACATCTTCTAACAATTTGTGCTTTCTATGAGTTCATTTTAAACAAAAACTGGAAACTTTGAAGGTGTGTTTTGTTTTAGGAGACCTTGAACTCTTTTTGTGTTTGTTTTTTTTGTCCAAATGAGTTTCAGGGTGAAAAATCTGGCCCTCGTGTGTATCCATGTTGACAACAAAAATCCCTCTTTTGTGAAAATGCTTATGTATTAGCCCAACATTTAACCTGAAATTTTACCCCAAATGCTTATTACACATAAGAAATAACAGCCATGGTGGATTTGTGGTTGTGCTGCAGCTGCAGAACCTTTATTATGGTTCTACAATGAAAATTTTAGCAAAATACTCCACCTTCGCTTTATTGTTTGCCTTTCCTGTTGTGTTTACCACTAACCTTGTGTGGAAGCTCCACACATATTCCATGTCTAGTGCCACTTACAGGTCTGGGGGTGTAAAAACAACTTTTTCCTTTGTGTTTATGTTTGGATGAAAACATTTCTAGAAGCGGTCCTGTGCTTTTGAAACTGAATTAACATTCCCATGTGGAAGGAATCAGAGTCTTCTTTCTTTCAGTAATTACTTCCACACTGAAGAGTGTTGTCATTGACATAACCTGGGAATGTTTTGTTATGGTGCCTTCACTTTTCAAATTAATGGGATTTTATTTTTCTGACCAGCTAGACGGCTGAAAATTTCCCGTCAGTACTGATTTTCATATCTTGAAACAAAATCCCGAAAAATATTGTGTTTAAAAAGTAGTTTTTATTGTATTTCCTCCCTCTTTTAACTTGAGTGTAATTGCCAAGCTGCACCCCATGTATGATTAAAGCACATCTTGCCAGCATTGGGTATTTAAGACTAATGGAGATAAACGGTGAATTAATAAACCGCTCAGAGTCCTCTTAGTAACGTTGATCCATAACCACATGTGTTTGTGTGTGTGTTCAGTTTGCACAGGGTGAATACAACTCTAGTGGGTTTGACCTGAATGTGATGCCAGTTTGGAGGAACAACATAACCGGCAGCGGAGTGGTGGTCAGCATCATCGATGACGGTGAGTCTAACATCGTTGTGGCACACGTGCTAATAGGAAACATACAGACCTCGAGCTAGTATCTGCGTTTCCATTAACCATGAAATTGCGCAAATAGAAATTATGAAAGTAAATTTTCTTAACATTACAAATTTGAACATACTTGGAAAGTCTAGAGGATACTTACTTACTTACTTATACTAAAGTAACCCAGAACAGGGATTAGGACATAGAATCCAGAAAAAACTACCTTAGACTCCTATTCTTCCAACCCAGAAAAGGAATTAGACCAGAGGATACTTACTTACTCTTATCTGGCAACCCTGAATAGGAGTATTTAGTTTATATCCGTACTTTGGATCAACATTATTAGATTCTTTTCTTTTTCTTTCTTCTTCTGCTCTTTCCTTTGGTTTTTTATTTTGTTTGTATTTCCTTTTAATTCATGTAAAGCACTTTGAGTGGCCTTGTTGCTGAAAATGTGCTACATAAATAAAATTACCTTACTTTACCTTAATGGAAACATGCCAAATTTGAGAAAACTCAGGTATTTTTGATGAAAACTTTTTGTGTTAGGATGAGATGGTTTTTTAGCCGCCTGCTGGCAGAGATGACAAAAAAGACGACAGGAAGCTTATTCAGCAGTGATTTTAATTTCATTTCTTATTTAATAGAAACACAGTGATTTTTTTCGACATTAGCAGAACATAGACGAAGACTTGCACACATTCATAAGAGAAACGTGGAGGTTCTGGAAGCTTCTGGTCTGTTTTGGAACATTTGAAAAGACAAAACGTTAATAATATTTATACAAGAGGAGACTGCACAATGGAATAAAAAAAAAACATCAGGTTTGCTGTCACCTTTGACCTAGAGTGAAGAGTGCGAATGATTTATCTAAGCTCCCTGAGCTGCGCCCACAACCTTACCTCCATCATCTTCGTTTCAGTCACGCCACAGTGACAATTCATTTCTCTCTGATTGCTGGGATATCTGGCAACAAGGGAAATGAGAGAGCAGCATCTTATGGGCTCATTCATCAAGAACTAATTGAACCCTCACTTGTCTCGAGTGCTGATAGAGCGGAGTAGTTGTTGGAGTGTGAAGGTGTGTTTGAGCCACTGTCTTTTTTTTTTTGCAGTCAAGAACCTCTGATTCTGTTTTCTGGGGTGCACAAATCACAGAGTTATTGGAGTCAAATATACTTTCTCCACTCGTTTACATGCGTTTGTGTTTTTTGCCATTTCATGAATGTGTGTACAGCTACGGCTAACGACTGTTTTAAAACAATTATTTGATTCTATCGAATCAGGCGATTAATCGAGTAATTGAATAAAAAAAATGCCATATTCTGCAGATTTCAGCTTATTTTATACAATATATAAAACATGCACATATTTTCAGTTTATTTTTCTAAATATAAAATACATTTTTTTACTGCCTAAAATACAAAATCAAGCTTACATTGATCATTTGTAGCAAAGGATCCATCTGCAGCTAAAAATAAAAATACTTAAATAAGCCATTTCACCTTCATTTAACATCAGTACATCTGATTTGTTAACTATTCAATTAACCAATTAATGACTGAATAGCAAAAGGTGCTGAAATGGAGATTTTTTTTTTGTACAGAATTTGAACTGCTTGATGCTAAAACTATGCATCTGGATAAAACAGGCAAAGATGTATTCACTTTGTGTACAGTTTTGGTTCAATTACTGCTCTGACTGTGTTGTTCTTACAGCAAACAGCCTTTTTAAGAGTCTATATGCTCTGATTAATAGATTATCAAATTAGTTGACGATTATTTCAATAATCGATAACATCACGATTAATCGTTTTAACTGTATTTGTGTGTGCTTTTTCTGTGTAAGGCTAATGTGCTGAGTTGTGATGGGGGGAAAAAGGTGCTTTTCTTTGCCTCTCATCCCTCTGCACACTGTACCATTGTGTGTGTGTGTGTGTGTGTGTGTGTGTGTGTGTGTGTGTTTGTGCACAGTTAGAGGTGAAGGGTTGATACAGAATGAGCAAGGCAGTGACAGACTGAGAGAGATAAATTATATAGAGGAAAGATCCAGAGAGAAATGTCAGGAGATGGCGAGAGCGGAGAGGATTGTGAGCGGCTGTACGCGTTAATGTATGTGCGGCAGAGAGAGAATTAGACCTGCACCAGTGAATCTCCCCTCCTCTGAGGCTATTGTACTCCGCTCCACCTCTTCGTATTGATTCCGCCTGGGCAGGAGCTCCCTCGCTTTTTCTCTCCTGGCCCTCCATCTTCCCTTTCTTCTGTTTCCCTTCGTCATTTTTTTTCTCCCCCCCCCGCTTTTTGTTAACCGGACGGAGACGTCTTCCTCTTTCCTCGTGCTCCGTCTTTCCGTTTCGCCCACTCTCCCTCCATTTTTTTTCCTCCGTCTTCCAGAGAGCCCTGCCTCTCTCTGGCCAGAAGATCGCGTTCCCCTCTCACCTTTAGCCAACCTTTCAATCGATGCCCATTGATTTTGATATCACAATGAAATAAATTATTTCTCTTTGAGTGAAAGCGTCCATGTCTTTCTCCATCTCTGTCCTTCAGCTCTCTCCCTTTGTTTTAGAGGTAATGTAATTGGTATCTGAGGCTGATCCTCTTAAAACATTGAATCACATTTAGTATGCCACTTTCAATTTATGCACCCATGCCTGGGTTTGCTCTGAGTTTCTTTTTACAAATGCGCTCTCTCAAAGGCACCCTCTAGATACACCTGCATTAGTTTTTGTTTTGTTGCTGTGGTTCATAAATTCTTGTCATTGTATTTACATATCTGATGAATATTACCTTTCGTACCTTACAAACACAACTTAAAAATTTTTTCATGACTTGTTAGAAACATAAACCTCAGTTTATTTCATATGGATTTTATGTGTGACCCTGATTCAGTGTGTGATTTTCAATTCTTTTTAACAAATAAAAGCTCGAGAAGTGTACCAAGCATTACACTGATCCCCCAAAATAAGATCCAGTGCAGCTGATTTAATCAATTTATCCTCATTATCAGAGTTCAGCTAAATGAAATTTATTTTCAGTGTAAATCGAGTTGCCTTGTGAAAAGTGACTTTAGATTTTACTGCTGAACATTTGGGTTTAATGGCAATAAACACTTTGTTTCACTGTGAGAGTTGGGAACGTACACACAGAAAAAAAAAAGCCAAAAAACCAAACTCTGACATCTTAAAAATAACATTTACAACCTGAAATATCGGCTACAATCTAAAAAAAAAAGACTTTTTTCCCCAGAATTGTGACTTTTTTGCAGAGTGAGATTAAAGTCCGAATTCCTTCAAAAATGAAAACCTGAAAAGAAAAATAATGCAATTTGGCACCAGCAAAAGTTTGGATAAAACACCAGAGTCAGTTGGTTGTTCATCAATAATTGAACACATTGTTTGAAAACAAAGTCTTCTCTTCTGTTGAGTATTAATTAGCCAATCAATGTATAGATTTAATCACAATAAAACACTTTGAACTTTTGGAATTCACTTAAAAATGAACCAAATGATGAAAAAACTAAGAAAGACTAAACTAAAACTAAACAATATTTAACTAAAAATAGCTAATAAAAACTAGAAAACACACGCTTAAAAAGTAATTAAAACTTACTGAATTGGATAAAAAGTCACAATGAAATCAAACTAAACTGTAATTAAAACCTCCAAACTATTATAACACCAGCTTTCAATTCAAATTCAATTCAAACATACCTTATTGATCCCAAAAGAAAATTAAATAATAATAAATAATACTAAGAAAATCTGAAAGGCACCGCTCGTTTACTCGGGTTTGTTTTCTCCTACTGCTGTCGCTCATAATTCCGGCATGATTGTCATAAAGTTGAAAGAAGGATAAGAAATAAAAAGCATTCAATAAACATGACGTTTACATGCCTGATAAATACCACCTACCTTGTTTGTGAGGACAGTTCCTTAAAAATACTTATTAAAATCCATGTGCGGTTTGATAAATGAGGCTTCTGGACACATTTACAGCTGAAATAAAAGACAGCTGTCACGTCAACACAAGCTGTGTTCATTAGAGGGTCGTGACCTCTGGGTTGGGTTATGGATTCATCTGAAAAATTAGTGCCGTGCAGAGCCCCGCGTCGTCCAGCGATCAGGAGTTATTGATCGATCAGCGCTGATATCGTTATGATATCGGTACAGAGAATGACTGGACGGATTGATTGGTGGATTCGGAAACAAAGACTCCGTTATCCGTTGTAATGTAAAACATCCAGTGTGTAGGGGGGAATGACATCTATAGAATAAACTGGATTACCTACTAGAACTCCTCTGTCTTTCCATCATTACTTATTGTGCAAATAAGATACCTACGGTTGCTGTAAAGAACCTCAATCGCCCACTCCAGCTCCAGTGTTTGCTTTGTAGTTTTTGTCAATCTCTAGAATTACACAGATGCCGTCGAGTTAAAGATGGGATTTTACAGCCGCCGCTCCACTGAGGGAATAACGCAAACCCTGACATAAACACAAAGCTGCATTTATGTTCATAATTTAGAATGTGTGCATCAGCTGAGGAAGGAGCTGTGATAAAATATTTTATGGCTGATCATGAAGACTAATCAGAGGCTGTGATGTGATTGGCTCACAGTACAGGAAGTATTTACTGCAACCCCCCCCCCCCCCCCAAAAAAAAACAAAACAGCATCTCTGTCACTTTGGTTTGGATATTGTTCTTGCTTTATATTTAACATACAAACAGCGTGAATCCAAATCAGTTGCTTGCATAGCACAGTGATTGTCACTGCGCATGATTACATTTGTGAACAGAATCTTTAAGGACCTTATAAAATTGAAAGCATTTAAATTAAGATCAAACATACCAAAGCTGAAATCAGCGTAAAGTTGAGTTCAAGCAAAAAAGATCCGAGACTGATGATTATTTTTTGTTTCTGATTTATTTGCATTGAGGACTGGATTTCTTCTTCTCTCCCGTTCCGGGATGAAAAAGCTGAAAATCAGTCTGTGAAA